CCCCAGCAGTCATCTGCTGATGGCCGGTATCTGAGCCGTGCCGTCTGCTCGGTCAGATCGCGATGGCGAGGATCTGACTCTGTGAACTCAGGTCTCACCAGCAAACACACGGTAACAAGCGGGGAGCGCGTGCTCTGATGACCACTCCGCCTCTAGTGGTCTCTCCCTAGATCTCACGTTGCTTCCTTTTTAGCCACAGCTCACTGAATTCTCTGGGGACAGGCACTGTGCCATAAAGGGCCCCTCTACCTAGAGAGAGAGAGGAATTAGGATCTTCATTTTACAGGAAAGAAACAGATGAGCAGTGAGAGTCAGTAACGTGTGCGAGGTGGCACAGCCGAGAGCAGTCGGTTCAGGAGCCTGGTGCGGGCTGCCGCGTAAGGAGACAGGCATGGGCCACAGTCACCAACTCGCACCAGGCAGAGCATGTTGCTTTAAGGTGGGTGTTGGATGTGGTTTTCTGCCCATGGACAGCTGCCTGCGAAGATCAGAGCCGCCCAGCCACGGTCCCACTGGAGACAGACATTCGTCGGTCTCCCCAGCCCTCGGGTCCTTTGGGAGGTCCCCTGCTGCCCATGGTAACTCGGGGTTGCGGTTACCACATCTCCCACACCCGGGATCTCCATCTGCCCCGGTGTTGATCCCTTCCAGCTGGCAGGGAGCCTCAGAGGCCCCAGGCTCAGGATCTGGTTCGAGGACGTCGTTGGCAGCCTCAGCCCGCACAGTCTTGAGGACTCACTCCCTGAGGGCTGCCTGGACTCCGTCCCTGTGTATCCCAAAGCCCCTGATCTCTTTGCTGCCATGACTCATGACTGTCATGGGTAAATACAGCCTTTCCTTCTAGATGGAGCCACCAACCAGAGGACAGTGAAGTGGCCTTGTGGGGCAGAACCTCAGCCGATAGTGAGTTCAAGCTGCTCGCTGCCGGTTGGCAAAACTGAGACCCCGCCAGAGGAGGACACGGCCCCGGGCCACCCAGCGAGCCCGTGGCACACCAGGGCCATGCCTGGGCCTCTGCCTCCCGGCCGGAGCTCCTTCTAGTTTCCTCTGCCGCCTGATCCGCGTGGTGTGCAGAGGCTCGCTCTGGCCAGAGAAGCTGCTGGTTCCTCTGAGGACCGAGTGGCCGGGTGCGGCCAAGGCCCAGTCGGCGCCCGGGCCTGGGGGTGGCCGCGCGTGTGCGGGGCTGGGGGCATCGGCCAGATCGCCTTTGGAGTTCACTTCTCGGTTCACACAAGCAAGTGACTGTGTGAAAAAAAATGGAGATAGAAAGGCAGTGAGAAGACAGAAACCAGCTTCTTAGACCGCCCTCGTCTCCTTGCCTTCCCCGCGTGACACACACGTCGTGGCTGAAAAGGGCAGTGGGTGGAGCCTTTGGGGAGGCGTCTCTCAGCCCCGTACCAGGCGGTATCCTGAGAGCCTGCTCTGGGGTGCCAAGAGCCATTTCGGGAGTCTTGGGCTGGTTCAGTCTTGGAGGAGGAAGTTCTTGCTCTCCAAGCCCCCCTAGAAGCCCACATTGACCAAAAAGGCCAACAATCGGAGGTTCTGGAAGGGTCTTCACTTCAGTGGCCGTCAGAGTTTCTGGCCCCTCAGTCTTGTGGCGGGGGAACCGAGTGCACGGGGTGGAGGGGGCTACCCGTGGCTGGCCTCCTGTGTGTCCTTGGCTGTGTTTTCCTTACTTGTTCCCTCTCTGTCCCTTCCCATGTCGGGCTTCCAGGGTCCCCTTCTGTAAGACACCAGAGGCGCAGGAGACTCGGTGACCTCCCAGTCCCTCCCCGTTCCCGCCGTCCGTGGTCTTCTCACCAGAGGCGCTAACCTCCTCTCCGTTCTCAAGGTTGCTGCCTGCCTATTTATAGAACTGACCAAAAGACTTGCACTGCAGCCAGCGGTGCAGGATACAAGCCGTGCTCTCCGCCGCCCGCCCGCTTGTGTAACTCCCGGGACGAGGCTTCTCTGCACCTGGTTTCCCTTCTCAGTGCAGATGCCCGGGGAAGAGAGGTGCTTGGGCTGAGCTCCTACTGTGTGCAAAGGCCCCGGGCCTCCTGCGTGGTCTCCTGGAATCCCCACCGCCTTGGGAAGTGGGTGATGTTTCATGGTGCTGCTTCGAGACGGGAAGCGCGGGCTGCGGGACTCACAGCTCACAGGGGACGGGGACGGAAGCACAACTCAAATGCAGTTCTGCTTCCATGCACCGTTTCTGTTCTTTCCTCTGTTGCTGTGGATGTCGGGGCTCAGGCTCACAGTCTCTTGAGGGAGGGAGCAGGGAGGAAGCAGGCCAGGGGGCCAGGCCTCCAGCCAGCAGTGCCCTCACGGAGGAGGGAATCCTGGATGGGGTCAGGAATCCTGAGGGGTCAGGAAGGCATGGGGGCCTCACAGGTTTCTGCTGAGGCTGCTGCTGCCCTATGACCCCCCTTCCCTGTTTCCTCCCCCAGAGCTCTGCTTGCTCCTTGGCCTCTCCATCCTGCCCCCCAAACTTCGCACAGGTTCTGCCTTCCCAGCTGTCCTATCGGGAGGAGTCCCAGGGACTTGCTGAAGGAGCGCTAAATCTCTCCCTGCTCATCTTCTCGGAAACGCTTTGTAAAAGCAGACTTTTGGAGAGCTGCCATATTCTCATTATCCCTCCACCAGAGACTGGCATTTATTGATTTATTGATTTATTATTTTTATGATGTTAGTCACCATACAGTACATCATTAGTTTTCGATGCTGCCTTCCATGGTTCATTGTTTGTGTATAACACCCAGTGCTCCGTGCAATCCGTGCCCTCCTTAAAACCCATCACTGGGCTGACCCATCCCCCACCCCCTCCCCTCTAAAACCCTCAGTTTGTTTCTCAGAGTCCACAGTCTCTCATGGTTCGTCTCCCCCTCTGATTTCCCCCAATTCACTTTTTCTTTCCTTCTCTTAATGTCCTCCATGTTATTCCTTATGCTCCACAAATAAGCAAAACCATATGATAATTGACTCTCTCTGCTTGACTTATTTCACTCAGCATAATTTCCTCCAGTCCCGTCCATGTTGGTGCAAAAGTTGGGTAGTCATCCTTTCTGAGGCCAAGTAACATTCCCTTGTGTATATGGACTGTGTCTTCTTTATCCATTCATCTGTTGGAGGGAACTGGCATTTAGCTGTGGACTTGAGGGGCCCTGGCAGCTCCCAGCTTACCCTGCCTCCTCCGGGAGAGGCTGAGTCCAGCCAGGGCTCCCCACTGTGGGTGATAGCTCTTCCCTTGGCCCCTTTTGTCTTTCCAGAGTACTGGGGAATCAGGAGAACACGGCCCAGGGTACATCCAGGCAAGCTTGGGGACTCAGAGAGCTAGATACTCCCCTTTTTGAGGCATATTCTTGTTGTTTTCTGAGATCAAAAGCAATGTATCATCATTCTGGAACATTTGGAAAATATTGAGAAAAAGGAAGAACAAAATAATAATCACCCATAATCCTGCCACCCGGAGAGACACTGTTGGCGTCCTCGGCTTTGTTTTGTTTCTCCTGTGTGTTTTTATCTCTGCATCACTGAGGTCATCCGTAAGATAGGATGGGGATCCTTTGGCCCCCCCGCACAGTACAGCATATCACGGATCCACGGCTTTACATACGCTCATCATCATTTACAAATGTGATTTTAACAGCCGTGTGAGCTTCGTATGAGCAAGCTGTAGCCCCCCCAATTGCAGGGTTGGCTGTTAATCCTCCCGCTAAGTGACCGTCCCTTGATAAACAGCATCATTTCAGCTCCGGGTGCCCCATAAGAAAGCAGTACGGCCAGTCTCAGTGTCCACCGTGGGTGGAGAGCGCGGGCTCTCCTCTCCTCCTGGTGCTTCCATCCCCAGACTGGGAAGGACAGAATGAAGTTGGGGTCTACACTCAAAATTAGTCGCTATGGAAAAGGAACCCCTAACTCCCAGTGCGTCGTAGGCAGGCGATTTGCCTCTATTTGTTCATCTGAAGAATGGACCTCTCTCCCGACAAGATCGGATTCCATGAGGATTTCAGGAGGAGGCAAAGCATGCCAGGTACGGAGTAGAGTGTCTGACGCAGACAGGCTCTTTTTCAGTGTCCGGCTATCATTATCAATCGTTTCATCTCTCGACTCTCTTGTCGGGGTCACTAAGACCACCCACGGCTTCTGCGAGGGCTCACAGGTTCAGCGTATGGTTGTACTTGTGGCTAAGATTGATGACAGCGAGGGACGTCTGGGTGGCTCAGTCAGTTGAGCGTCTGGCTTTGGCTCAGGTCATGATCCCAGGGTCCTGGGATGGAGTCCTGCATCGGGCTCCCTGCTAAGCGGGAAGTCTGCTTCTCCCTTTCCTTCTCCACCGCCACCCCCCCCCCCCCCCCCCCCCCCTTGTGCTCTCACCCTCTGTCTCTCAGATAAATAAAATGTTAAAAAAAAAAAAAGATTTATGATAACGAAAGTATACACAGCAAAATGAGCACAGGGAACAGGCTCAGGGGGCAGAGTCTGTAGGAAAGCAGGCACAAGACTCTGAGTCTCCCTTTGCTGCAGGATGTGCCCAGGATGGGCTGGGAGATGTCCACCAGGGATGCTCATTGGAGAGTCAGTGCCAGGGTTTTTACTGGGGTCTGGTCACATTCCGGACCCCCACATAGCTTGCACAAGGAGCGTAGGCACGGTGAGCTAGGTTCGGGAACAGGAGGCACTCAGAATCTAGGTTTCCAGTGCCAGCCAAGTGGGCCTTCCGAAGGATGCCGTCTTGGGCCTGCTGTGTTCACTCTTTCTGCACAGTTATGCTGAGTGGTCGTGTTTCTTACGTTTGGACCACTTCAGGATGGGGTAGGACGGATGCCCTTGTTTCCATAGGACAAAAATTGAGGGCTACAGAAAAAAGAGCCGGGGGAGCGTGGGGGGGGGCTGGTAATTCATGGGCTGGCCTCCTGCTCCCAGTGTGGGGGCCTGAAAGAAGTAAGTTCCGTGTACTGGGAGGGGTTTCCCTCGCTGCCCCCTTCCTGCTAACCCTGTATCCCTCTCTCTCTCTCCAGGCTCTGAAGGGCTCGAAGAAGCTGGTGCTGTCCGTGTACTCGGCGGGGCGCATCCCCGGGGGGTACGTCACCAGCCACATCTACACCTGGGTGGACCCGCAGGGCCGCAGCATCTCCCCGCCCTCGGGCCTGCCCCCGAGCCACGGCAGCACCCTGAGGCAGCGTGAGGGGGACTCGAGGAGCGCCCTGAACCTTCTGCAAGGCGGGGACGAGAAGAAGGTGAGCCGCCCGGCCTCGGCCTCAGCACGCCGGCCAGGGGCGGAGGGCTGGTGCGGGAGGCTGGGCCCCCAAGACCCCATTCTCCCTGCCAGACCCAGAACGGGGACGCTTCTTAGAGCCTGGACGAAGGGGCTTTGTTCTTTCGGGGCTCTCTTCTCCTCTCAGGGCCCTACTGAAGGGTTTGAACTTGTCTTCTTCTCTTTCTGACATTCTGATACAGGCTAAGATCCTGCCCCCAAAGAGCCCAAAGACTGTGACTTAAATCAGATCATTTATTTCTCCCTGACACCGAACAGGGGACAGCGGGCAGCTCTGCCCCCCGTCTTATTGTGGACCCACCCTCACCCCTGTCGTCATCCCCTGGGCTCCTGCCCCTTCCGATGCTTGAAGCTGCGACCCCGCCAGTTCCCCATCCTAGCCCCTGGAGTGGAAAAGGGAGGAGAGAGCTCTCAGAGCCCTGCTTTCAATTCAGCATGATTCAGCTTCTCGGTGGTCGGTGGTCGGGACCCAGGGGCGTGGCTGCATGCAGCTGCCGGGACCAAGGCTCTGAAGGAACCCTCTGCGGCTATGTGTCTCGGGTTGTCAACAGCAGGCACTGGTACTGGTCCCCTTGTACCAAGTGAGAACTGACAGGGTGTGGGCAGTTCCAGACCCGAAGCAGAATGGAGAGCTCGGTGCGCCTCCCAGGGGAAAGGGATTTCCCCCGTGTCAGCTCTCTGGCTCTTTCCAGGGGCAGGCGTGTGGCCCACGGGCACCATGGGGTGTGGTCACCCGAAGACGGGGGCAGGGGCATCGAAGCCCTCCTCCCCTCATAGCATGACTGCTACAATTAAAAAACAAAAAGATGGGAGATGATTCCCCTGAGTTTTTGAGCATCACAGTGGGTGCTGTTTGCCTCGCACCCCGTGGTTGCTAGGAGACCAGGAATGTGAGTCCTGCATGTGGCTCTCCAGATGTTTTAGGAACTGGACACCCACAGCCCCGAGGCCATGTGGCTTGGGGTTCCGGGCCAAAGACTGCCTTCTGGAGACTCTTGCTCAGCTCTCCTTTCCCGCCCATGAGACCACCCCTCCATTTAATGTGCTTTGGGGCGGGCGAGAAGCTGCGATGGGGGGCCCAGTGGTAGACCCCCACCTCCCGAACCGCCCGGGGAAGCTTTGTGGTGGCAGCGCTGGGTGGGCAGGGGTGGGCTCGAACCCCCTCCCCGCCAGGTGATCCGTGCTCCATAGCAATCTTGAGCCAGCAAGGCTGCTTGAAGCATGAAGTCATTTTCAAGGCCAGCCTTCCAGGACTAGGCAGGGAACTGGCTTTATCTTTCCCTTGAGCCCCTTTACTGTGTTGGGCATGGTGCTGATGGGTGCTGGACGCTGGGCTTTAGCACCTCAGTGAATCCTCACGGCCACCCAGCCGGCTTAGCTGTCACCCACATTTCAAAGCACAGGAATCCAAGAGAGACTCAGGGCACTATAGCAATTAAGACCCTTTCCACGGGTCACCCTGGTCACCCCGTACTCAGTACTTAGTGAACACCTGCAGTGTGCTTCATGCTGTGATGGGAGGGAGGGATAGAGAAGTGGACAGGAGAGATGGGGCCCTGCTGTGGAGAAGCTTCCAGTGAGTTTGGAGTTCATGGGAAGAGTGAGACCATAATCCAGAAAGGAGCCAAGGGTGAGCAAGATCATTAAGGTGGTGAAGTGTGATGGAAGGAAGTAAAATCCGGAGACAGAGGGGTGGAGAGTGACAGAGAGGGAGGCTCTGCTTCAGATGAGGTGGTCAGGGAGGGCCTCGCTGAAGACGTGACTTCTGAGCTGAGACTTGGGAAGGAAGAAGGAGCTGCCATGTTCTCTGGGGGCTGAAAATCCCAGGCAGCAAGGATAGCATGTGCAAAGGCCCTGAGGTAAAAATCAGTTCACATCTTCAGAGCTTAGCAAGAAGGGCCCTGTTGCTGGAATAGGGGGCAGGGTTGGGAGGGCATCAGGTGCCCTCTAAGAGTCTTAGAATAACTTATGTAGTAACACAGAAGGTAGAGACTTAGGAAATTGTGCTCCAGGGAGGACCAGAGACCTCAGGAGGCAGGAAACACCCTGGACCACACCAGAGTGGCCTTCACAGATCTCACAGCTCCAGACAAGCCCCTTCTTTCCCTTCTGTTCTTCTTCTTGCCTGGATGCATCCTGGAAACCTCCCCATTTCCTGTCGTGAGGGCTGTGGGGAAATCTCTCTGGAACCTGCCTTTCTGTTCCCTCGACCCAAAGCTCAGCAGGCCCTGACTCTCTTCTCTCTGGTGTCCTGGAATTGTCTAATACTCCACATCACTGCGACCAGACTCCCAGACTTCCCATGCCAAACTTTAGTTCTCCTAGCCCAACCCCAGTGGACGCACACCTTCTAGAGACAGAGTGCCCAGGGCGGTCGTGGTTGTGAAAATCCCACATGTCGCTAAGAGACATGGGACAAGCACTGGACACTGTCCCCTAAAGCTGCTTCTAGCATCGCAGCCACTCCTGATAACACCTTTCTCCACACTGAAGTGCGGAGCCAACCTGTGAGGGCGAAGGAAGGAACAGAAGGGAAGAGCAGTTGTAACTCTCTGGGAGTCGGACCCATCTGCTCTCAGGTTACAGTCACGTCCTCAGAGGCCAAGAGGCACCGGGGGCAGCAGGGAACTTCGCTCCGGGCTCCCGATCCTGAGTGCTCCTCAGCCTCCCCAGCTACAGTGACCTGGAACACCCTCGTTGGGGGGTGGGTTACACGGGAGAGCGTTAGTACGACCGGGAGGGTAAGACACCAGAGCCAGGCTGCCTGGGTTCAAGTCCTGGCTCCGCCGCTTGCCAGCTGTGTGACCTTGGACAAGTTGCATAACTGCTCTGAGCCTCTGTCTCCTGTGCAAGATGGAGACAGTGATAAGGATTGCGCTCCCCACCACTGTGTTCATGTCGCGGCAGTACGGATGTCGGTTCTGGGCGCTGGTACACTCACGGTGCCTGGATCAGTGCCTGGCACAGCATAGGTGCTCAGTACTTACTATGTGAATGCCGGAATCAAAACAAAACACCTTGCCAACAGCCTGGGGTGTGGTAGCAGCTCACTCAATGCTTGCTGGGTGGGAATCCAAGTCCTGTGTGATCCGACCCTCACACACTGTTCTTTGCAAAGTCAAAGAGGAGGATGTGGCCATCTGTTTGCCCAGTTGGCATTGTTGTGGATGTGTGAACAGCTGCCACCATGTGCCCAGGGAGGAGAGCCACGTTCCCTGTCTCTGTCACCTCTCCTTCACCCACAAGGGAGGTGACGCTCATCCGAGCTCAGCAGGTGTCAGGACTTCCTCTTCGGGGTTCTCTCCTGGTTAGCTGGGGCTGATGGGCAGGGCCTACCCTGCCCTCTCCCCTGGGAAACACAACGGCGGGACTGAGAAGGAAGTGCCATCTACCCAGCGCCCGCGTCCACCCCCACCCCCACCTCCTCGGGTGTCCTCTGGCTCTGGCTCTGCAGGCTTGGCCTGCGCACAGCCTCAGGAGAGGCCCCCCTCTGCCCCGGCTGCTCACTGTGCCAGGAGTCTTGGTCAGCACCTGGGAGTCGCTCAGGCAAGCAGTGGGGCAGGAACAGCCGATGGCAAGGCCCAGGTGTCACCCACCTGGGTCATTAGTCCCCGAGCAAATGGGCTAGTCCTGTGCCATCACAGTGTCTTCAGCCCTCAGCCCCCATTCCAGGCTGTGACCAGACCCCGCTGCAGCCGTGGCCGCTCCCCCAGACTCACTTGACCAGCCACTGGGACAAGAGGCGCCCTGCCCCTTGGCTTGGGCTGAGGCCCAACCTGATACAGAGGGAGCAGGGACTTTGGGCCTGGGTTTGAAGCCTGGTTCCTGAGCTTCCTGACCGGGTGACCTCAGACAAGTCACCTACTCTCAGGTTAGCCTAGTAAGTGTCCCTGTCGTTAGTACGGGGGTAGTCCTGGTGGCCACCTGGGACTGTTTGAGGGCTTAGTACTCGAGTACGGAAGTGTGGAGCACGGTGCCTGGGTGCCTAGGGCATAGTCGTTCCTTCCAGTGACAGCCATCATGTTTCAGGTGCTGGCTAGGAGCTACGTACCTTTCCTATCTTTTTACCCTGAAACGTTTACTGAGTACCTACAGTGAGCCAACACTGTTCTTAGTATTGGGAATATAGCGGCAACTAGCCAAGGATGACCGCCTTGAAACGCTTACATTCGTGTGTGTGCATGTGTGAGTATGTTACAATAAGTGATGTATAGTATATAGAAAAGGGCATAGGGGCAGTATATGGGTGGGCTAATTCTAGGCAGGGGCAGGGAGGGCCTCATGGAGAAGGTGGCATAGGATCTGAGGTCCATGAAGGAGTCATCATGCCTATATCCACCCTGCCCGGGGCTGAATGTCCTGGCTGTCGGAAGCCTTAAGGAGTGTGGGGCTAGGAGTCCCCAGGTATAGTTTTTTGGTAAGTCTGCCCTTCCTCTTGTTGGTTTTTGTCTTTGGCTTTTTGCTTCCCAGCTGCAGAATGGCAGCTGCGGCTCCTGCCATCACAGCTGTGTCCAAAGCAGAGTGGATGCAGGGTGGGCAGGCAGAAGGCCCCTCTCACCCTATGCCTATGCCTCTTTTTTCTCTGAGGGCAGAATCGCTCCCAGCATCCACCAGCAGATGTCCTCCATCATGTCCATTGGCCAGAACTGGCCCAGACTACTCACGTCCCAGGCAGAAGGGAACAGGCTTGGCCCAGACTGACTACATCTCGGGGTTGTTGCTCTATTGCTTCCTTGATAGGGTCAGGGTTCTAGGGCAAAGCAGGAAGGGGAGGGGCAGTGGAGTGAGTAGTGCCTGTCCCAGGTACGTTGTTAGACTCTCAACTTACCTGGCAGAGAAAACTAAAAACCAGAGAAGTGGGTCCTGGTTTCCCAACAGTAAAGGGCAGACTCAGGATTTGAACTTGGGGCTGTGGGAGGCAACGCAGCATGCTCGTTAAATGCCTAGGTTGGCCAGCTGCTGTGTGGCCACATCATTTCAGCCCTCCTGCCTCAGTGTCCTCATTGGGATAATGGACATAACAATAGAAACCACAGAGGAAGAGAGAGGATTAAATGGGGCAATGCATCCAGTGCCTGGAATTCAGGAAATACTCAGTACGTTTAGTGACTAATTAATTTAACAAGTTATTCGTATTATCGGTGGGAGTGGCGTTCTCATGGTGCCGGCTCAGTGTCCTTTCCTGTAGGTGAATTTTTTTCCTGCCAAATGCTGGTTGAATTCCAGCAAGTGATTGAGGCAGATTACCCTGTGGTTGATAGGACTGTTATTACAGCTCCGTGATACAGGCTGTTTTATTCCCTCGTAACGGATTTATGGGGAGGTGGTGGGGAGGCGGGGAGGTTTGTTTCCATCCTCAGGGCTCAGAGGGGCCTGCCGCAGACAGCCGCTCCTTTTGGCTCTCTCCTCCCAGAATCTTCTGGGCTTGGAGCTGGGGATCCCAGGTCGGGGAGCAGAGTGACTGACTCCAGGCCACCGCATGAGCTGGACTCCAGGTGTGTGTGCCCTAGGCCCTGAAGGCAGAGAGCATGGGGGAAGGGGTGCGTTCTGTGGGCATGGCAGGGGATCGGAGCCGCACACTCTGTCCTCAGCCGGTCTCACTGACCTCCCCCAGATCTGGGCCCCACCTACCCCACTCCCACCTGGCCACTGTCTCAAGGTGCACACGCTTTCCTGAAGGACCTGGGTGGCAGTCTTCCAAAAATCCGAATGAATCTGAGCAGGTCTCTCTTTCACCTAAAGCCCAGTCTTCTAGGCCTGGCTCTTGACCCCCCACTGACTAATCTTGTCCCTTCCCCGGGTTCCCCACCTTGCTTTAGCCAAACAGAACCCTGCGGGACTCCTGGGGGCTATGCTGTGTCTGGGTTCTGAGCTTTTGCCACCTTCCTGCGCCCAAAATACTTGTGTGTGGTCGTTTATCAGCACAGCAGGGCAGTGCCCTGGGTTCGACGCTGGTACAGGGCACCGGGGCCACGGGACTGGACAGCGGGCGCAGTGGCTGTGACGCCCGCCACGGAGGCGCAGGGGATGCGCTGGCCCTCAGGGTCGTCCCGAAGGAGGCAGGGGTGGGGCTTTCACCTGCCCTCTTCTCCTAGTCCCTGGATGGGAGCTGCTGGGCGGGGGGAAGGTGAGCCACCAGCAGCCACCAGTCCCCGCCCTGGGGACAGGGACTGTGTCACATGCTCCTGTGATCCAGTGCCCCACACGAGGCCCAGACTTGGGGGCTGGGTGAGTGAGTGGAGCGAACCAGCCCCTGCTCAAGTGCACGGCGCATCCCAGCCTCTGAGGCAGCAGCGTCGGGGAGGACGCCCCGGCCTTCCTTCCAGGGCACCCCATCTGTGCACGCGAGCCCCATTGCTGGCCGGCCGGGGCCACCAGGAAGATAAGAACAACAGCCAGTGTTTTCTGAGTGCCTGTGCTGCGCCGGGCACGAACCCACGCCAGCTCGCAGCTGTCCCAGCCGCGGCGCTGCACTGGGCTGGGCGGGGCCATCACAAGGGGCTGCATTGTCAAGCCCATCCTCAGAGCCTGCCGTTTCCAGAACATCCATCACTCTGACGCTGCCGGGTGACCGTCCCCAGGTGCCCCCCTGAGAGCAACGGAGGGCTCGCAGATGCTGTCCTTTCTAATGTCGTCTTCCTTCGGGGGAGCAAACCGGGAACCGACTCTGGCCTGAAGGGGGTGGGGCCGCCCCAGAGCCTGCGGTCCTAGAACCCAACGCCCCAGAGGCGTTCTGTCTGTTGGACCCTCTCCTGACGTCCGCCAGCCTGCAGGAGTCAGCTGTGGCTCGGTGGCCTTGTCTGGCTTTGTCACATGCAAAGTGGAACCAACAGTGGCTGACGTTTGCCAAGCATTCACCGTGGCCCAGAAACTAGCCTGCATCTGTCTCTTAATGTGACCCTTTCCGTAGAAGTCCTGTAAGGCTATTTTCATCTTCTTTTTGTGGGTGGAGAGTTCGAGGCACGGAGAGATGAAGGATGTTGCCTGAGATCACACAGCAGCTCCCCGCATCGGGCAGTCTGGACCTGAGTCTGTCTCCTTCACCATCTCCACCCAGGGCGACTGAAGAATGAAGTGGGATTAATACATGCAAACGACTGTGTTCTCTTTGGGTCCCTTCCTTGTCCCGGTCTTAACCTGTTGAGGGATATTTTCTACCCTTTTGGGGTGAGTTCGGGGTCTTCTGGTGCAACTCCTCCTTTTCCCTAATTCCTCTTTCATACTCAAGACATACGCATGTTCCTGCAGGCTCCTTCATGGATTATGGGGCCTTCCGGAATCAGCCCCCAGCCTCCCCTGCTTGTCCCCTAGCCCCCCAGCTCCCCCTCAGCGCTCCCCGCCTAGGCCATAATGACTCACCCCACAATCCTATCCTGAGCAAAGCACGCTCCCCTACTGCCGCGTGCTGACCTTGGAAAGCCCTTCCCACCCCTGCTGGCCCCTGCCGGGTTGACTCCTGCTCACTCTCCAATCTCATCAGAGCTGTCACCTTCTCCGGGAAGCCCCCCAACCACCACCCTCGCCCCCGGTCAGGACCTTGCACCTTCTCTGCATTGTTGTGGCCTCTGAGCTGCCCCATTGCGCTCTGATCACACTGTCCCATGAAGGTCGGCTTCCTGGTCTCTGTGCCCTTCTGCTGAGAATTTTGGGAGCAGGACTGGTCTGGGTAGTCTCTTGGTCCCCTGGCCCAGCAATGGGTCTGCACTCGGCAAGTGCTCCCTGTGTCTCTAGAAAGAAGGGCAGCTGAGGCCATACTGCCATGGGCCGCTGGAATGAGTGGCAGAGCAAGAGACTCCTGGGGAGTGGGCAGGGGACCCCTGGCTGGTGGGAGATCCCCAGGGAGGCAGAGTGGACTTAGCCTTGATGCTAAGGAGGATGGAAGGTGAAGGAACCTGGGGCCAGAGCAGACTCTCCCTGACTGAAGGGTGTGGTGAAGGGAAGCTTGGAGGGGGGGGGGGTCTGTGGTCCCCACGGTGTGGAGCACAGGTAAACACCTGAAATGTCACATCACTCTAGAGAATTCTAGGGGTCACCGCCTTCATTGCCTTTCTTTTCCTGCACTTACAGCTGTGGCCCAGGAGGGAGAGGGATGTCCCCAAGGCCACGCAGTAAGTTGGAGGCAGAGCTGGGGCAGCTGATCTGGAATGTTCCAGGCCTGAATCGGTATGCCCTTTGGGATAGGCCAAGGACTCCGGAGTCTGCTATGCCGCCCCCCCACGACATTCACGTCCCCCTCAGGCCCTCAAATAGCGATCTCCTGTCCCTCCTGCAGGTGAACCTGGTGCTGGGAGACGGCCGGTCCCTGGGCCTCACAATCCGCGGGGGAGCCGAGTACGGCCTGGGCATTTACGTCACCGGCGTGGACCCGGGCTCAGAAGCCGAAAGCAGCGGACTCAAGGTGAGCGGCCCAACTCCCTCAGGCTGGGGACGGGTGCCAGGGCTGCACACGCAGGGCTGGGTGAGAAGGAGCTGTGCTTGGAGCTCTTTGCAGCTGATTTCGGTCAGACCTACAGCAGGATGGTCACACCTCCCTCCCTTGAGGCCTGGTTGCAGCTGGAAGCCCCCCTGGCTGCAAGAGGAAGCGGTAAGAGCCGTGCCTCCACCTCCCGAGCCCATCTCCCAGCAGTCCTCAGAGCCGGGCAGCCTTCCACATGGTGCTGGGTGGCGGGCCAGCTGAGCTCTTCATGACCGCTGTTTTGCAAACACCGCCGGTGGCTGCAGTGGCCCTGACCTCAGGTTCATTGTGGAGCATGGAGAGGGAAGAGCGGAGAAAGCGGGAGCTGGGTTGAGCTCACACCCGGCAGCTCCCGGGTGCCAGTCTGTCAGGGCAACCAGCAATTATTGAAATAGTATTGTTAGCTCGAGCTTTAGAGAAGGCTGACTGCGTCCAGGTCCTGGTCATTGACTTCACACGTAGCTCATTGAACCCTCAGGCTGCCCTTGGCGGGAGGTGGCTCTGACCCACATTTTCCAGTTGTTCAGGTGGACACGTAGAGAAGGTGAAACTGAGTTGCCCAGGTCACGGTGCTGATGGTTGCGGACCGGAGGGAGCCCAGGCGTCTGTTCCGCAGCCGGTGGCCTTAGCCGCTACGTTGCACCACCCTGCCAGAACTTGCTCAGGGCTTTGAGGGGCAGTGACAGTGAGCAAGGCAGGGACAAGGACCTGGAGCCCAGGAGACAGATCACCTAAAGTGGCGGTGTGTGTTGGGGGTAAATCTTGATGTCAGGGAAGCCAAGGCAGCAGTGATGGGAGCAGTGGACCCAGGTGGCAGCCGAGCCCGCCTTGCATAATGAGATAGTTTGGGGTTGGAGGGGCTGGGGAGGAAGGGGTGACCCTGAGGGAGCCAGAGGGTTTCACCGTGGGTAACCAGACAGCCAGGGAATGAAACACAAAATGAGATTGTGTCTTCACAATCTCAGCTTTTTTTAGGATAGATGATGCAGTTGGAAGAGCTCTGGGCTTGGAGTCTGGGAGATTGGGTTCGAATCCTAGCTTTGCTGTTTTTTCTTTAATAGCTGGGTGACCCTGGGGAGCCCCTCCAGCTGTCCGAGCTTCCCTTCCCTCTCCCAGCTGAGCATCATAAATAACACCTCTTTCTCAGGATTGTTGAAAAGATGAGAGGAGGAACAAGCTGACAATGACATTAATAATGAAGGTTAAGTTTATTGAGCGTCGCTGTCACAGACTGAATGCTTGTGTCCCCCACATTCATCTGTGCAATCCCTGACCCCCAACATGACGGGGTTAGGGGCGAGCCTTTGAGAGGTGCTTAGGTCAAGGGGGTGGAGCCTCATGAATGGGATTCGTGTCCTTATTAAAGGGTCCCGACCCCCCAGAGCTCCCTCGTTGCAAGTGAGGATGCAAGAAGTGTGCGATCTGCACCCGACCTTGCTGGTCCCTGACCCCAGGCTTCCAGCCTCCAGAACTGCGAGGAATGAATGTCTTGGATATAAGCCACCCAGTCTGCCATGTTTTGCCACAGCAGCCCTGATAGCCCGAGACAGGCTTCTGTTCCTCCCCATCTTTGTGCTGTTAAATCACATCCCCACAACACGTCTGGGAGAGCAGCTTCTCGGGTTAGCCCATTTTACAGGTGCAGCAGCCGAGGCTCAGACCGTCACACAGCAAGTGGGAGGCAAAGCGGGGACTCCCGTGCGGGGATCAGGATTCTGGCTAGCTGGGCCGGCAGTAGAGGCCCCACAAGCATGGGTTGGGTCTGGTTGATTCTGAAATGCCTCTGGGTCCCCAGAACGCATGCCGTGCGAGAAAGATGACTTCCAAGAGGAAGCAGTCTCCCAGTAGCCTGTGTGCACATTTTGTTTTTTAAGAAGTTCATTATTTTGGGATAATTTTCGATTTACTGAGAAGTCACAAAGGTATTTCCCATTTATCCTTCATCCAGTTTCCCCTGACATCAACATGTTATGTAATAACCTCAGTATGTCCATCAAGGTCAAGAAACTGACGTTGGTAAGATGCTATTCCACAAACCACATGCTTTCTTCCGGGTCACCAGTTTTTTCACTAATGTGATCTACTTCAGCCAACCACATTGCATTTGTCCTGTGTGCAGTTTTCATTCCATTTATTTCTTAACCCGCCCCCCATTTCAAAAAAGATGAGCGGCAGCTTTTCGTCACTGAATAAAGTTTTGTTTTTTTTAAGTGAATGAGTGAGGAGATTGGGGAGAAGAAATATGGGGGCTGAGAGAAAGAGATGAAACCAGGTTGAAGGTCTTTCCCAGAGCACTCACTACAAGGTGGGATGCAGATTTGGCCCTGAGCTTCCTGGCAGCCAGTGCAAAGAGGGAAGCAGATCAGAGATGTCTGTGAGGTGAAAACAGATCACCCGTGCTCAAGAAGCCTGGTTATTCCTGAGCCTGGGAGCACTTTTCCTGTGGTCTCTTATAGAGAGAATGCCATGTGATGATGTGAGCTGTGTCCTCCATGACAGGAAATGTATGAGCACGTTCTCTACTCTGTTGGGGGTGGACGGATTCTGATCGAATCCATGTTAAAAGAAAGAGGGAGGGAGCGTGAGAGAGGATGTATTAGGGTCTGGGCAGAGAGCCCTGGGCACGTTCTCCGTCTCTGTCTCTCTCATCCCTGACAGATGGCAGCTTTTATTATCACGTTGTCCACTTAGTGAGGAGTCACTGTGCCAGACCTGTGCAAAAGGCTTCACAGTGTTATGTGATTTTTAGGAAGAGGTGCGGGAAAGGAATGTTCTCGTCCCCATTTTACAGGTGGCAGATTCGGGAGCGGTGTTAAGCACCTTGCCCGAGGTCACCCAACTAAGACGTGCTTGGTCCGCACCCGGCCTGCACACTTAAGTCCCTGTTCTTTTTGTTGTTGTTGCCGCCTTTTCTTTTGAATTTTATTCCGTTTTATTTAAATTCAGTTAATTATCATATAGTGCATTATTAGGTTTAGAGGGAGAGTTCAGTGATTCATCAGTTGTACATAACATCTGGGGCTCATTCTACCCCGTGCCCTCCTTAATGCCCATCACCCAGTGACCCCATCCCCCCATGTCCTTAACCACTAGGCTTCACTGCCTTGCCTCTTGGTGATAACAGGTGTCACTGTTTCCAGTTCAGAGCTGAAGAGACGGAGGCTCATGGAATTGCAGGTCGAACTCTTTCTAATGTCAGAGCTGGGATTTGAACCCAGGCCTGACACACTCTGGGCTTGCCTTGTATAGGGGAGGGCAAGAGCCTAGGACCTGCCGGTGATCAGGCCATGTCCTTCCCCTCACTGGATCTCGGTCTCCCTGCTTGGACAGCAAGCAGCTGAATAGTTGGGCTGGATGAGTTTGGAGGCTTTCTCCCAGATTTGCACGTTTTCCCAGCCCGAGAGCCAGAAGGTGCCCAGGTGCCAGGAACATACTCCGTTTCCCTTCACCTGTGGGTCCCCATAGCCACAGAGAGACGGCAAAACAGGTAGCCTGTTGGCAGGTGTTTTATGAGGGAGGGAGGGAGGGAGGAAGGAAGGAGGAAGAAAGAGAGGGAAGGAGGAAGGAAGAGAGGGAGGGAGGGAGGAAGAGAGGGAGGGAGGGAGGAAGAGAGGGAGGGAGGGAGGAAGGGGGGGAGAAAAGGAGAGTAGGAGGGAGAGAGGGAGGGAGGAAGGAAGGAAGGAAGAGAGGGAGGGAGGGCAGGAGGGAGGGGACATTACGTAAAGGCAGTGAGTGTCCATGGCTGCCTCTCCTTCCCTTCCTTCCTTTTAATCAGCAAGTATATACCGAGGACTCCTGCGTGCCAGACACAGTGCTCGCCTCACAGAGCTGAGCAAGACAGAGTCTCTGACCTCCAGGAGCTTGCTTTCTAGTGGGAAGACAGGGCAGGTCAGAGGTGGAATGACTCAGTTGTTTAATTACAATCAGGATAAATAACAAGAGGGCAAAGCCCATGGAACTGTGTGGGTGTATAACAGGGGAGACTAGCTCCTGGATATCCGGGAAGGCTTCCTGGAGGAAGTTGAAATCTAATAGGAGACAGGAAAATTAATGACGTGAAGGAGGAAATGAGGATTCCAGGCAGAAAGAACAGTAAACGCTTAAGTAAACGGAGTGAGATGTTCCCAGATGCCCAGGAAGGCCCATGTGGCTGATGCAGAGAGCCAGGTGGGGGGAAGGTGCCAGTTGATGCTGACAAAGTGAACGGCGCCCGATCACATGGGGTGTGTCATTTCACCCAAGACCGTGCAGCCGGGAAAAGATGAGGTTCAGCAACCACAGTTAGTAATAAGGAAGGATGCCCAAGGTCTGTGATTAAGTGGGGAGCACAGGTTGCAACACCGCGGACCTCACAGGATCGCACTCAGACTGCAGATGCGTGTGCAAATATTTACAGAGAACGCGGAGCAGCTGTCACACCGACCTGTCCCAACGTGTCAGCGTGTTTCCCGAAGGCGGTGGGATGACCAATGACTTCCACATCCCTGCGCGGGGTCTGAGTGGAGCGAATATTACTTTTATATAAGCATGAAAGCAGCAACGTTTGGAAACAAGGCAGTGGAAGAATATTCCACGGAAGTTTTCCGGTCCCTTCAGCTTGCTACCCAGTGGCGGGCAGTCAGAGGCTTTATTTGCTCATAAAATGCCCGCCCCCAGAAGAGGCTTTTCCTTCTTCGGTCCCCGCCGCAGTAAAGCACTTTGCATCCCCCCCGCCCCCCGCCATAATCTCACGTTCCCCCTCCGAGTTCCTGTGAATGTGCTAACACCTGCCCACACTCGCTTGGGCACCCAGGACTGATTAATTCCGTTTGTTGCCAACGTGCTGTCAGTGGAATCAGGCATACTGAAATGGAATAAAGGGGCTTGGCTTGGTGGGTGGTGGAGCCAAGAACAGGCTTTATTTGTCAGTAGGGCTCCTTGCTGCTGTGCAGAGCTTTCCGGGG